TTAGCATAGCGTAGGTTTACCATAAGAACAATTTTTTTTTTCTGTCATGGTATTTATGTTAACATCTGAGAAAGTTAATAGTACACTAAGAGAATACAGAATAATGAGACATATTTCTGTATAAATCTTTGCAAACCATTAAGTATATCAAATATGCACTGTATATTGACAATATTAAGATCAAAATGTATAATAGAAGCAGTTGCAACAACACATAGCCTTTAGGAGATAATTACTCACAATATGTCTAATAGTGGACTACAAGATCTAAAATATTGGTAAGATTTTAGATGCTTGAAACAAATTTATTCTTTTTTGTTTGGGAAAAAGAGTGAACTGTCCCACATTATTTCTGTGAGACATTGGTTAGGGAAGAAAGACGGTATGGTTTTTATCATGCTAAGTAACTCTTCAAGGATAAATTTGATTTAGAGTTTAGATTGTAAGGTTGTTTTTATTTGGAGAAATTTCTAAACCAGGTCTTTTCATTACAAACAGTGTTTAGGGCATCCGACTTCATAACCTTAGCAGCTGTAGCAGCAGCGTGTGTGTCAGGAAAGGCATCCGGCAGTGGCGGCATTGTCATGGTAGCGTGGGGAAGTGTCAGCTATATGGACTATTCTCTCACAGCTTTCCTTTCATTCGTGTTCTTCTTTAGAAGAAGTTGTATCCCCTAATAGGTGTAATGAAGTTAATCATGCCAAATACCCAAACGTCATAGAATTGGCATTTAGTGTCAGTTATTCACCAAAGAAGAAACATAAGCAATGACTAATCTACCACAGCATTAAATGTTGATTTGAAAAGATGACGCACAGATGAAGTAATTGTTAAATTAATCGTAAAGGAAAATACTTGGATTTGAAATAAAGTCATTAGGTTAGCATAAACACTGATGTTTTTAGAAGGCATTGTAAAGGGTCTTTGCTTCAGCCTTCATGTAGGTTTATTGTTAAGGGATATAAACACAGTCTAAGCCTATAAACACAGTCCAAGCCAGTCCTCCTGTGGACTGCAGTGTGACCACACACTGGTCACTAAGTCTCTCTTCTATGGATAGGGCCAGGCGACAACACCACCACTACCCTTGCTGAAAGTGGATGCACATTTTGGTTTTGTGTAGAAAAGAAGTCACAGGTGACAATGTCCACTGCTGTGTTTCTTTTTCCATATTTTGACATAAATAGGACTTAAGAGATTCCATAGAGATGCAAAAATAAAATTTTCTTGGTTCATTAAGTACCAGCTTCCTCTGAGGAAGGTGGAAGACACCTCTAGGTGCTACCTTTGCTGGCTTAGGACAACATCTGCAGTTAGGGCAGGATCTAACATGTCCTGATGATGGTGCATATGTGACTCAGAAATGAGGGTGACTGGCAAGGACCGGGTGTCTCCGAGACCATAAGATGGGTAATGAAGTTGGAGTCCAGGCTGGGCTGGGATCTCAGCTTTGCCGTTTAATGAGCAGTGTGACACCAGACAGGTGGCATCACCTCTTTGAACCGTAGCTTTCTCATCTGAAAGTAGTTGTTGTGAAAGTCAGTGAAATAAAGCAGCTTAGCCACCCCCTCGTGCCTGTTGCATAGTAAGTACATAGCACCAGCTGTGGGTATTTTTGTTGCTACCACTGTACCAAAAAACCCCAGGAGTATTGGGAGTGACCTGCCCATCCTCAGGTTCTGTGCCAAGGCAGTCCCGGGCCTGTGCCTTGGCTCTAGCTCAGCACCCAGTATAACAAGGTGCTGCATAGGTCTTGTATAAATCCAGTATGATGAAAGAAACCTCACTAATAAATCGAACACTTCTTATAGGATTCACACAGAATGTTAAAAAGAAGGGATCCAAAAAGTTTTGTAGTTATCAAGTGCTGTTTTTAAGATGGGTGGGCGATCATGAATCCAGTGTTGAGCACCTAATTCCTTCATTTTGTGGCTAGAATACAAATATGATATCAGCCCAGGAGCCCTTCACAGGAGCATAAAGGAAAATGCTTAGGAAGATGCACAGCATCCAAAATCAGAGCCTCTCCGTTACTCAAAATGCTGATAAACTCAACTTCTGCAAGATTATTTGATAAACAGTGCTACAGAAAATACCCTAAGATGGTTGTAGTGATTTGCCAGTGGAGCTACAGAGGCAGTGAGATGTACAACTTCATAGAAATGGGCAGTGAGCTGCAAGTAGGGAGAAAATGAAAAAGAGTGAGCCTTTTGGTAAAGCTTTGTGTGTTTTCTTTTGGAGTTGTGTGTTTTGCAGTACTGGGGATTGAACCCAGGGAGACTGATCCCAGCATATTGTTGTTGTTGTTGTTATTATTATTATTATTACTATTACTATTTTGAGAGTCTCACTTAGTTGCCTAGCTAACCTTAAACTTGAGATCCCACTGTCTCAGCCTCCCAAGTAGCTGGAAGGAATTATAGGCTGTGGAGGTTTAATGTACCAAAATTGTAGAAATGAAAAATGTAATGTACAGTATTGAATACATGGAAGAAAAAGGTTAAGGAAATTTTAAGGTGAAGTTATTATTTTAGTCATTGTTATGTTAGTTAAATTAAAGTGGGATTATTTCCCTCTATGGCATGGTGACAGCTGCCAGCCCCCACCTGCACATTTATACCTGTATATTGTGTACACCTATGGGCCAGGAAGGTGAAAAGATGTCAGCTCACTCTCACTCTATGTGAAGAGAAATCACGAAAAGTTTAGAAGACTAACCAAGACAGAATGGTGGAGTATGTTAATGATGTATGATTTAAAAAAAAGAAGAAGAAGAAACAAGAAAATGCATGGAAGAGATAGACTTTTTCTCAAGTGGAAAAAATACTCAGAATAGTAATATCCAGGGGATACCATATGATATTTAACAACTAGAAGTTTTAAAAAAGTGTACCAGCCAGACAGAGTAGCACATGCCTGTAATCCCAGCACACTGGGATGCTGAGGCAGGAGGATCCTGAATTTGAGCCCAGCTTGGTCAATTTAGAGACTTAGCAAGACCCCTTTTCAAAACTAAAATATAGCTGGGCTGTATTTCAAAGTGGAGGTCCTGGGTTTGTTTCTCAGATCTAGAAAGAAAAGCGCCTTGTGAAAGGTCAAGGTCATCATCCTTCCTGAACTGGAATTGTTTACTCTTTGCTTTGGTTGATTTCACTTGAGGGGTGAAGACCTAATTCTGAATCATAGAATACAAACTTCCACAGGAGGAATGACTCTGTTCAATATGGAGAGAAAAATGGGCTTTGTGTTTGAAGACAGAATCTAAGAGGCAGTGATAAGGAGAGAGGTGTTGTCCTAAGTGATCAATACAGAGTTTCCATTTGTGTGACACCACTGCAACTGTGACGCACTCCTTGCCCTCGTTGCCCGTAAAAGTGTCATTATCAGAAAACAAACAGAAACTTGGAATTAATGGTCACATATTTCTCTGAGCTGTGACCAACAATTGCCGGGAGCATATTGGCTCAGTTAACAGACAAAACCTGACAAGAAGCCCCTTCTTCATTCTCATCTTGGAATTATTACACCGTGTCTTCTACTGTACTGGAAAAGGTAAAAAGAGACTGTCGGGCTTTTCCAGTGGATAAAATTAAACGTCATTAATCATTATGAAACTATGCATAAGACAAAAGTAGTGACGTCAAACAGTCATTAAATCTTTTTAATATGGCAGTATAGAGTGCCAGTGCGTACAGAGAGTCCTAGTGAAGAGTTGGCTGTTCACGTCTACTTTGTGAAAGGTATTACCAACTGGAAAATTAATTGGGCAGAGAGTCAGGGTCTAGAGGCAGACCCAAAACTACCACGAAAGGAGTGTTGCTGACCCCTAACATGGATTTATTATCATATGTCAGAGCAATGTCAGGGGCCCGGAAGCTCAGCTCGGTGGTAGAGCATGTGTGAGGTCCTGGGTTTGGTCCCCAGCACCAAAGTTTAAAAAAAAAAGGCAAATGTCACACCAAACGCACATTATAAATATTTCACTCGTGGGAGAAGAAACTAGTTGATGATTCTGTTTTTGAGTTCTTGTATTTTATTTTAAACTAATTAGTAAAACTGAAAGAAGTATTTTTCCACAATTGCACTGTCTTGGTTTAAAGTAATTTTAAGTTTCAAGAGGAGACTCCACCAAAAAAAAGCCCTTTGAACAGTAACTGTTTATTTTAGTCCAAAGCTACTGTATAACTGAATCCTATTAGGACAGAATTTTCAAAACCCAGAAAAATACTTTGAAGGCTTCACTGTTTCCTTCTGATAAATCAATGTGAAGGGATCAGAAAAAGGGATATTGCTGATCTGCAAGCACAGTTGCTTCTGGGGTGCTGGCTGTGAAAGGGGCCTTTTCATCTGGCCGGGGTCATCACCAGGGAGTTTGTGGGGCCACCAGCTCCATACACTGTGTGTCCACGTGGAGATGAGGGGACAGCTCAGTTGTCCTTGTGGCTTTTAGTTCTCTGGACACAAAGTTTCAGCTCCTTTTGTGTTTTATTTTGTCTGTGATTGCAAAACTTGTTTATAGATGTTAGAGGACTTTACTTAGTGGAGTTCCTTTGAAGAGAAAGGCATGTTTGCTCAGCAGCCGTGTAAATGTTACCTGAAATTATTCAGAAGTGCCACAGTGTGTGAGTGTTATTTAGAAACTCACCAACCAGAGGCGACCTGTCGTTTCTTTCCGGTACTGGCCCACCTCCACAGACCACACTGACCAGCTCTTGTTAAACACCACTGTCCTCTACTCCCAGCTCGAAGATTCTTTTCTTTTGTTTTATTTAGTTTTTTCTTATTGTGCTAGAGCACACAACCCCCTACAGATAGAACCTTTAGGCTCTCCATAGAGAAGTTTGGGTACTTAGGTTCTTCCAAAGATTGCAGACTCTTGGAAAGAAAGAACTCTGTCCTGCTCATGCTTATATTCTCCAGGTGCTTAGCACACTTCCCTGTGTGTAATTGGCACCCAACATCTATCCCAGTGAGTAACTGTTTCTTTTTGTATGTTGCAGATAACCAGAAGACCCTACTCTCTTCAATGAAAGGAGCCTGTCAGATTTATTGCAGAAAGTAGAACCAGGGAAGACTGTTGATGGGTTTTCAAAGCATTTGAGAATACCAGGAAAAGAACTTGCTCTCCTCCCCTGTGCATATACATAGAGTAAGGCTGCTTCTGATGCAGCTGAGAAAGATGCAGGCCATCAAGAAGGAGCAGGCGTCTCTCGACGCTCCCAGCAGCGCAGACAAGATGATGGTACTGGCTGCGACTTTGCCCGAGGTGCCTGAGGACCTGTCCACAGCCGAAGAGCTGCTTCTGGGTGAAGGAAACATAGGCAAAAACAAATCTTCTGCCTGCCGGAGGAAACGGGAATTCATTCCTGATGAGAAGAAGGATGCTATGTATTGGGAGAAGCGGCGGAAAAACAATGAAGCCGCAAAACGTTCTCGTGAGAAGCGCAGACTGAATGACCTGGTTTTAGAGAACAAACTAATTGCACTGGGAGAAGAAAATGCCACTTTAAAAGCTGAACTGCTTTCCCTGAAATTAAAGTTTGGTTTAATTAGCTCCACAGCATATGCTCAGGAGATTCAGAAACTCAGTAATTCCACAGCTGTGTACTTTCAGGACTACCAGCCGTCCAAGTCCACATCCGTGAGTACATTCGGGGATGAGCCGGAGCCGGCGCTGGTGGCAGGCAGCTGCATTTCCGTCATCAAACACTCCCCGCAGAGCTCCGTGTCTGATGCATCCGAGGCGTCCTCAGGGGAGCACACCCGGGAGAGCCCCTTGCAGGGCAGCTGCAGAAGTCCTGAGGGTAAGTTCCAAGTCATCAAGCAGGAGCCGGTGGAGCTGGAGACCTTCCCAAGGGAGCCCAGAGACGACCGGGGCTCCTACACAGCCTCTATCTACCAGAGCTACATGGGAAGCTCTTTTGCCGGCTACTCACACTCTCCCCCTCTCCTGCAAGTCAATAGATCCTCCAGCAACTCTCCAAGAACCTCTGAGACCGACGACGGGGTTGTGGGAAAGTCTTCTGATGGGGAAGACGAGCAGCAGGTGCCTAAGGGCCCTATCCACTCTCCCGTGGAGCTCAAACGCATGCACGCCACAGTGGTGAAAGTCCCCGAGGTGAACTCCTCTGCCTTGCCACACAAGCTCCGGATCAAAGCCAAAGCCATGCAGATCAAAGTAGAAGCTTTTGACAATGAGTTTGAGGCCACGCAAAAACTCTCCTCGCCTGTTGACATGACGTCTAAAAGACATTTTGAACTCGGAAACCATAACACTGCAACCGTGGTCCATTCTTCCCTCCCTCCTTTCTCAGTGCAGGTGACAAGCATTCAAGATTGGTCCCTCAAATCGGAACACTGGCATCCAAAAGACCTGAGCAGCAAGACTCAGAATGGTTTCAAGACTGGAGTGGTGGAGATTAAAGACGGTGGGCATAAAGTTTCCAACTCAGAGAACTTGTACTTGAAGCAAGGGATAGCAAACTTATCCACAGAGGTTGTCTCACTTAAGAGACTTATAGCCACACAACCAATCTCTGCTTCCGACTCTGGGTAGATGACTACTGAGTAAGAGCGGGCGTTGAGAAAGATGTCATTTGCAATAGATCAGTACGTTTTGTATTACTCTGAGTTCCCACTGGACCTGTGATGTCATTTCACTGTAATGTGCACGTCGTCTGTTCCATGTCTGTGTGCACAGATGATGCGATAGTTATGTCCTCACTTTGCCTTGTGTATAGTCAGATAGTCCATACAAAGGCTGTACATATTGAACATTATTTTTGTTGTCCTGTTATAAAGTGTGTAAGTTACCAGTTTCAATAAAGGATTGGTGACAGACACAGAACATCTACTCCATTGCACTTGATTTGATGGAAGAAGAATGGGCAATTTTAAGTTACCAAAGTAGATATTGAGGTATCTACATTTTATTTATGTGGGGTGGTTTCATTCCCTGAATAAAGGAAAACTGAAGTGTAAGTTCAGCAAATAATTTGTTTTTCCAGGCTATAAATAGTATTTTCGAGCAGTGTACTAAGTTACTGTCTGTTGTACAGTTTTCTGTAAAATTGTTTTCTCTGTATATATTTGTTTTTAAGTAGAAAAATGCAAGTTGTTTGGAACCGGCCCATCCTTAGTCATCCCCCTTTTAAGTATGACACATGGTTGTGGATAGTTGAGTCACTGACCCACTTAAGTGAAAGACTGTTTCGAAAGAGTGGATAAAACTGAGGATGGAGACATTTTTATATTATTATAAATCTTAACAGTTCTAGAATGTCATAGTCCAGGAAATTAAGCTAAATACTGTTTTCAGAGAAAACATCAGTTGTCACATACCTATATATACGTGTGTATATATATATATGTGTATATATATATATATATATACACACATATAAATATGTATATAAAGAGAATGAATATGAGTATCTACAAGAACTTCCTTTTTAAGGATTTGTTTACAGGCAAGGGATGTAGCACAGTAGTAGCGCATTTGCCTAGCATGCACAAGGCCCTGGGTTCAATCCCCAGCCCCACAAAATAAAACAATAAAAAATGGTTAATAAAAAGTACAAATAATAGCTCTTTATCTTCAGGCATTAGTTTAAAATTATAGGAGTCCAGAAAAAGCATCACCCCAGTGAACTGGGGATGAGAACAGCCCTGATCATGTGTTCAACCCGCTCCATTCCTGGTGTGGAGAAGGCAGCGTCACCACACACAGGTCAGGTGTGCCACTGGTAGCCACACATCCCTTGGGGAAGAGTAGAGGCTCAGTAGGTGACTTCTCCCCAAGCCCTGTTTCCACACTGGCCTTTTTTCTGCTCGAAGTGAGTCAAGGGCCTGTGAGCACAGAACAGGTGCTGATGTCTCAGCCGTCGCTCACCCTGCTTGGTGGCCCTTGGTAGGACAAGCTGGCTGCACCCTGCGGTAGTGTCCCGTCTGAGGGCTGCAGTCCCTCTGACTGCCCTCTTTAAACCAAACCCTGGGGGCTGGGGATTTAGCTCAGCGGCAAAGTGCCTGCCTGGCAAGCGCAAGGTCGTGAGTTCCGTTCCCGGTACCGGAGAAAAACCAAAAAAAAAAAAAAAAAACCAAACCCTGCCCTGCACTGCCCTTGCCCTCCTACACTTCCGTACTGTATGGCGCCTTGCATGACGGAGGGTGACTATAACACTCAGGACTCTCTCTTCCCTTTCACCATAGCAACTGCTTTTCTTGCCAAATTCCAGCTCCCTATACACAGAGCGTGGCCGAGCTTGCCTTTGGCCTCTCTTCAGTCTTTTTGTTGGGAACCCTGAAGCAGAATAATCTAAAAATGTAAAGCAAAGAAGGGGTAAAATCCTGAGTAGGAACCAGGACCCCAGGGACTTAGGCATTGAAGTAAAGTCAGGCTGCTACATTTAAAAAGCTAGGCTCTGGGGATGTAGCTCAGTGGGAAAGTGTTTGTCCAGGGTGTGCAAAGCCCTGGGTTCAGTGCTCAGCACTGAAAAACCAAAGCACTGAGGAGAAGAACTATTAATAAGCGAACTACCGTAAATCCCTAAGAACGTTCGAGTTGCAATCTTTCACAGATACGCACTGGCCAGGAATTACAAACATTCCTAGATGTGAGCAAATCGCAGAAGCAGCTCCTGTGTCTGTTGGACATTGTCACGGCTGTGCTGCTGGGTGCTTACTGCACAGTGCAGTAGAACAGTACAGTCAGGGACTTTGTGTGTGTGTGTGTGTGTGTGTTTGGCGTTTTTATGCTTTACATTGTACATTTGTATCAAAGGTGCATAAGAATTACTTTGTTGGACTTAGCAACAAAACAAATCCAACTCAGGAATGTTCTCCCAAAACAACTAGATCTTCATAAATTGGGACTTCCTGTGTTACAGAGGGAGAACAGGTCTAGTATCCTCCCTTGCTGTAGGTCAGTGACCACTCTGTGGAATGTGGCCTTTGTAAAGGCAGATGGGATCCTAACTCTCCTCTGTCCCTGGGGGCACACATGATGAGAGCCTCAATAGAAAACATCCCAAAGGAGAAGAGAGACTTCACAGCCATAAAATAGGAGAAAATATTAAGAAAACTATTTACATTTTCCATGAAAAGGATGAACCTTACATCCTGGGTACTGAAAGGAAGGCAAAGAGCAAGGATAATAGCAAGAAGGGAAAACCTTGAGTTATTTTAAGGTAACACTTTGTGGCTCTCAGAACAAAGCAGAAGAAAGTGCTTGCCTGAACCTAAACACCTCCACTATTTTTTTGTTTTTGTTTTAAAACGTGGTCTTGACATGTTGCCTAGGCTGGTCTCCAACTCTTGTGCTCAAATGATCCGTCTCAGCGTCTCAGTGCTGAGATGAGAACTCGCTGTGTGTCCCATGTTAATTGCTGAATATCAGCCATCACTGTGAATATCACCTGAGTGTTATGGTGTAGCTGTCTTCCTTAGTGTCATTTTGCCTTATTTCAGGGAGGTGGGTTTAAAATACTATATGAAAGTAAAAAGAACATCACAAACCAGCTGGGAGCCTAAGAAATAAAGCTACACAGTGACACTTCTGTCTTAAGACACCAGCTGAGCAATCCGTACCTCCTCTCCTTCCCACCCAGAGTAGCCCCAGGTCATAGAAAGCATGTTTAAAACCAAATCTAGGACCCTGCTCAAAAGTAAGATACTAACCTAAGAGCTCCAAAGGTCTTAATTTCCAGAAAGGTGAAATTTCAAAAAGGTGGCTCTCGGGTTGGCCTGGGGAGGGGAGAGGAAGCTGCAGGGAAGAACAGTGAACAGCCACTCCCAGAGGACCTGCCCAGTGCCCAGCACCAGGAACGGCCTGGTGTCTGTGCCTCTGACAGGAGAGCTAAAGAACAGGACTGGCTCCTGGGGGCCCACCCGGGGCTTTGCTTGCAGGGCTGTTGCAGCTTGCGGGCTGGCCCTGTGCTGGGATGGGGAAGACCAGCTGTATATAGCTCCATTGGGCCCCAGGAGGAGGCACGGGAGTCCCCAGCCTGTGAAGCAGGAGAAAGAAGCTGAAAAAGAACTATAGTGACGTTTCTCTGAGAACGAGCAAAACTGTCCTTGAAGCCTCCACTGCCTCTGCTAACTTGTTAGTTACATACCGACTTTATCTTCAGAACAGAAGTGCTCACCTGTGTGCAGGTCTTCCAGCTTTTGGCGGCTGTCCATACAGCTCTTCTGAAATCTAATCCATCATCAGTGGACACCTTTTAGCACACCACCATTGTTTTTAAAACCTTTTTTTAAAAAGTACTGTGTTAGATTATTTTTTAAAAAAAACTGGTAGCTATTAAGCTTGTTTTTGAAAACTAGAAATTACCCCTCAAAAATGAGATGGAGTTGTTTAAGAAATCTTATGACCACTGCAGTGATCCAGGCCCTTCCCCATCAGCCAGTTGCACCAGCAAAGTGTAAATGAGAGACACTCACCACAGATGTGGAATTACTGGGATACTCAAAATACCAGAGAAATAAGAAAATTCAAAATTATGGCTGTTTAGTCTTAGAAAAATGTGAACTAGAATGTCTGTGGGAAGGTCATTTAAAAATACAACTTGTTGAAAGATGAGTGGTATTTTCTACAGGGGGAATTTATCCTGATTGTAGTGAACACAAAGAATTATTTTGAGAACTATTGGAGAAAATTCTCAAGATACTGTGTGTATACTGTATCTACCCATTCCCCTGAACAAATGTAAATATTATGTATCACAAACACGCACCAATAAAATCGGGGAATAAAGAAGCACAAGGAGGATAGAAGAAATGTATATATATAAAGTATATTAGTGGGTCCCGCTAACATGTTAATTAGCTAACATGCTAATGTGCATGTTTCCATGCACATTATGATGGCTGAGCTGTGATGGTTACTTGAATGGATTAACACATGTCTAGATGCATGATGACACTGTTAGGGTGCATCTTGTCCCGGGGTCACCGTGGATGTTTTCACAGCTAACACAGATGCCAGGAGCTAGAGACAGGTGGGAAGGCTGGTCACTGGCAGTATTCTCAGAGATGCGTTATTTCTCTGGCTTTTCCTCTCACTTCTACAATGGGGTTTCTGCCTCGGAGCCAGCGTCATGCACTGAAACAGAAATATGAGCTGAAATAAATCTTTCCTCTGTTGGTTTTTCTCAGATATTTGGTCACAGCAATGAAAAGCTAGTGCACAAAATTTGTACCAAGGACAGAAAAAAACTAATGGAGATAAGACACGAGGCAGCAGATGAGCAGCCCAGGACAGAGGGCAGTGACTGCTGAGAAAGTCAGGGTGGCTGTAGCCATGGCGTCATCACCAAGGGACACCAGCATTCCTGAGTGTTGAGCATGGATATCATCACTGGCACACAAGCAGGAGCATCTGTCTCTACCAAAGCTCAGTATCCCAGATGGGTGTAACTGCTTTTTCCAATACCTGCCCACTGGAAAGGGAAACAGGTACTGTGGGGGAAGCAGTTGAATAAAGCCTAAAGCTCTGGAGATCATGAATAAGGCCTTTCTAAACCAGACATGGTGGCACACGCCTATCACCTCAGTTACTTGTGACAGGTCTTGCTAAATTGTCCAGGGTAAGCCTGAACTTGTGATCCTCCCACCTCAACCTGCCAGAGCTCTAGGATTACAGGTGTGCACGAGCGCGCCTTGCAGCACTTGAACTTTGAAAACCCATGCTTCTAAGACTTGAAGAACATCTTGTCTAGGTCTCATGCTAATTATTAGTGAAGGTGAATTACCACATGGATACTCAGTTCTGTGCCACATGCTGTGGTAGAGACATAAAAAGAGACAATGTCTGTATTTGAGGAGTTTTAAACTTGCTTGAGAAGGAAA